AGATGTGAAAACTAATGTTGATTTAAAATTTTTAGAATTAGTTATGTTTGTTTATGTTAAATAGTTAACGTTTATTTAAATATTAAAAAGTTTGTTAAAATATAAGTTATATTTTGACAAATTTTTAATATCTGAATAGAAGTATTATAATTACTGAATGTTTAAACTAAACGCTAATATCGTTAGAAAAAAAAGTGAACATAATTATAAAGTTAATTTTGATTAATTTAAAACATTTAAAGACAAAATCAGTTCAATTTTGTTCAACTAAGTCTTGCTTTAGAGTTTTTTTTTGGAAAACCAGCTTTTAAAAGAAGAAGACGTTGAGACTGGATTAAAGCAATCGATAACATTTCGTATCATTGAAGTTGCTCCAATTTCTAGTTCGATTCAAAAAAGAGAAGTGAAAAGTATGCTAAAGTATACAAACGAGGATCTTTATCAATACTATCATCAACAATATTGAGCTTGATAACTATACTGAGAAAATAAATTATGACACCAAACCACCTAATAATAATACTATTTCTAAATATTTTTTAACACATTATTTATAAATCAGAATTTTAAAATTTTTATTTTCAATTAATACAGTACTAAACTTAATTGAAATAACGAACTTGAAAAATAAGCTTGACTTGAACAAAGTAAATTTTAAGGAGATAAAAAAAATTTTTTATCTCCTCAGTGGGTGATTGTGTATTAGGCAGATTACTATATCAGAATAAACTTTTATTTGAAACTTAAACCTAATGGCTATACACTTGCTGAAAAAGTGCTGATTCCTATGACTTACTGCTGTTATTCGATAACTATTGTGTTTATTTATGTAAAATAATATGGTTGTATCTTTAGGTTATATATTTATTAATTTGCTGAATAAAACTATTTTATACCAGCTTGAGTATTAATTTACTATTAATAATTCACTACACCGAGGAATCGATATTAAAAATGTTATTGGGGCAAAATTAAATCATAGCTTTTAAAAAAAACTAAAATTATCTGGACACTAAATTTAGAAAGCTTTCTAATGTTTCCTTATTAATGTAAATGTATATAATCAGAGTGGCAAACTTTCATGTTCATTTTCCATGACTTTTCCCTGACTCCTATAAAAATTCCCTGACTTTCCTATGAAAAATTTATCAAAAGTTTAACATATAAAGCAACAAAATATCTCACAAAGCCCTTTATTTTTACCCAAAAACATAAACTTGGTTTAAAAGTGCTCTCATTGACTTTTAAATAATGCTTTTAATATGAGACTTTAAAAATACATTTTTTGCAATTTTATTATGTAAATGTTTTGTTATTATTTACAGATTAAAAATCTAAATACATTTTAAAAGAGGGTATTAGCTTTAATTTGTCTAATGACTGGTTTTAAAATCTTTTCGTGATCATTTAGTGCTTTTTGTACTGTGCTGAACTCATTTTGTTTCAAAACAATTGTGTAAAGTTTTTAAATTTACCTAATCTTTTTACAATCCTATAGTTTTTTTGTTACAATTGGCAACACTATGTCTCTAACCAACTTAGCATCGTATTTGTCATAGCAAATAGCAACAACATAAATGAATATTTTCAAGTTGTAACAAATTAGCATCCGAGGTGTCTCTATTGGCAGTTGACAATATTAGGTGTCTCTAATTACTTGAGCTCGAATGCCAAGTTGCTACTACTTGAAAGTATTCAATTAAGATGTTGTTATTAAATTTTAAAAGATTTTTAAAAGCAATATGGATTAAAAAAGCATATTTGAAAATTTGTTGTTGTTTTACGAGATCAATCTGAATATAAAAAAGTTGCTGTAGAACGTGAAATTTATACTTAAAAGTTTTTATAGCAATCAAAGTTTATAAAAATAATGAAAATTATTTTTATAAACTTTGATTGCTATAAAAAGTTTTTAAATTAAAATTTTTTTATAGCAATTAAAAAAATTGCGCCTTAATTGGAACGCTAATATCGTTAGAAAAGAAAAAGTGAACATGACTATAAAGTTAATTTTGATTAATTTAAAATGTTTAAAGACGAAATCAGTTCAATTTTGTTCAAGTAAGTCTTGCATTTGGTGAAAAATTAAAAACAAGGCTTAAAGTTATTCACCTAATAATAAAAAACCGTTTCAAAAAACAAGTTTTATAAACGATATTTCTTTCTTCACATAAAATTCCAAAATTATTGATTTTTGCTTCAAAGTATTTTAGTAAAAAAAAGTATTATTTGTGATGATATTATCTCAAATAATACATTTTTTTCACTTAATTATTATTGATGAGTTGGAAAAAAGTTTTCATCCCATCACCAACAAAAAAGAGAAAATTTAAATTTACAAAATTTGTAAATTTATTTTTCTTAGTTACATTTTTAAAATTATTACATCACAGAAAAAGAGAAAAGATTTTTTGCACCTTTTAGCAAAAACTTAATACCACAACCAATTAGAAGTTTGTATTTTTAGGTAGAATACATCTGATCCATACAAAATAAACTTAAAAAAAAAAACAACTAAAAATAAAGAATTTTTTCAGATGTAAATGCTCAACTTTAAAAGATGTATTCAAAAAATTAATTAGTGAAGAAAATAACGAATAATGAAAAAGAAGTTAAGAAAATGATAGATCATTAAAAACATATAAAGATAAAAAAATTTACATAGATAATAAACTAACTATAGATTTTGTTCATTTTATTATAAATATTCAAATTATCCATTTGATACCCTAACCGTAGAGTAAAGTGAAAAAGTAAGTTAACTCGTTTTGCAAATTTATTGTTTTATTAACTTTCGTTAAAAAATATAAAATTAAAAAAAAAATCGGAGTTTTTCTTGAACAAAAATATTTTAAATACCTCAAAAGTATTTAAAATATTTTAAATACCTCAAAAAGTATTTAAAATATTTTAAATACCTCAAAAGTATTTTATTATACACAGTTTACCACAGATACAAAGTTGAAGTTTATATGAAATGCTAAACATCGATCGCCTTTTTTATTTATTATCGTTTTTGACGTTTATATATGTAATTTTTGTTAGGATTTTTCTAATTTTTTATTTTGTATCTGATGACAGTTTGTATGAAAATAAAAAGATTTTAAAATGAAAAAAGTAGTTATAAGACCGCTGTCATTTATGATTTATAACTTGACAAATACAAAACAACAAAATTACCAAGATCATTAAGATTATAAGACACAAGATTAAAAAAAAAAAGAAAGACTTCAATTTCTACTTCAACACGTTGAAGTATTTTAATGTAACGTTGTCTCGTAATGTGATGTTGTCTCGTGATGTGATCTTGTTTCGTGATGTGATGTTGTCTCGCGAAATGTTTATTAAGTAATGTAATTAACCGAGATATTTAATATAATAAAATTACCATAAGCGAGAGGTTCCTAGTTCGATCCCCACTACGACCCTGGTAGTACCACGCTCAACTTAATTCTCTTAATATTCGTGTTTTTGAGTTATAAAGTAAAGGTAGAGTTGTAACCACAATTAAGTAGTCTCTTTGTCTGTAGTGGCCGTCTCGACCTTGGGAAGGTAAATTAACATTAAAAAAAATTTTTTTTTAATATATATATTTAAATCTAGCTACTCTTATCCTTATTAGAAACATCGCCGCGTATCTAATTCGTCGTGTCGCTCTCTGACTTCACGTGTTAATGATATTTGTAAAATATGCCATAACGAACAAACAAAAAATGATGCGTTTGTTTCTCCGTGTCTTTGTTCGGGTTCATTACTTTATGTTCATCAAAGTTGCATACAAAAATGGATTAAAATGACTGGTGCAAAAAGTTGCGAGTTATGTCAGTATGGTTTCAATATTGAATCTACTACTATTCCAATAAGAAAGGTAAGTATATATATATATATATATATACATATATATATATATATATATATATATATATATATATATATATATATATATATATATATATATATATATATATATATATATATATATATATATATATATATATATATATATATATATATATATATATATATATATATATATATATATATATATATATATATATATATATATATACTAGGGAGTCTAAATTTTATTATCGTTATTAATTTTTATTTAAATTTTACTGATGAAAATTGTAAAATAAAATCATTGTAAAATTTTAACAAATGACGAATAAAAACATACATAAATATAATGTATAATAGTTATTTATATATGTTATATTATATTATAATATATTATAGTATAATATTTTTACGATTATTAAATAACATTTTTTTAAATGAACATTCTTTGCTTACAGTGGAAAAGTTTTGAGCTATCGCCTAACGAACGTCGAAAATTATTGTGTACCGTTTCTTTTCATATAGTAGCAGTTACATGTATGGTTTGGTCTTTATGTGTTCTTATTAATCACACTGCAGAAGAATTTAAAAGAGGCAATTTTGAATGGCCATTTTGGATCAAACTTGTTGTTTCAGTAATTGGTTTTATAAGTATTGTTGTTTTTATGTACGTGCATAGCAAATTTTATGTGAAGTTATTTTTAAGATTAAAGACATATAACCGTGCAATATTTATAACAAATGTTTCAGAAATTGAAAAAGAAAGATTTAAGACTCATTTTGTTGAAATACAAGACAAAGAGGTTGAACTACATAAAGAATGTCAAATAAATCAAGATTAGGATTTGATTTTAATGAAATAAAAGATTTTTTTTCATTTTTTTCATCAATTATTTTTATTCTAAAATTCAATAAAGCTATAACTTTTAAACGGCTATATATTTAAAGCTATAACTTTTAGACGGCTATATATTTAATAAAAAAATTTTAATTTTAGTTTAATATAAAACTTTTGAAATGATTTTGTCCTGAAAACGGGAACTTGGAGTCCTAAACTTTTTAGTATTTTAGTAATTTCAAATAAATGGGAATACTGGGAATCTAAACTTTAGATATATCTCAGCATTAACTGATTAACTTAATATTTATAACTTAATATTAATATTTTATTATATATATAAATATATATAATAAAAATATGTAATAAAAAATATATAAAATAAAATATGTAAAATGTGTTCTTTATATCATTTCTGCAAGTTAACTACTTTTTTAAGCGCACATTTTTAATGCACATCATGTTCGTCATGCGCATCATGTTTGGGTAAGTAGAGTAAGTCAACTGCTTTGAGTCCTAAACTATTTGAAACCCGCTTTCTTTTCAGTTTAGGTTAAACCACCCAGTGGTTAACGGCCCGACCAATCGTTGACGTTTCGTCACTTAAAAATATGCTGAATAAATACTAACTGCAGAGTTACTTAAACAATAATTGCCTTTGGATAATTAAAATCCCTCAGAGATTAAATTTCGAACCAAGAAGTTCTCAAATAAATATCTACTAAAAATTTGGTTTATTATTAAATGTGTTCTAAATTCTTCTAATTCTAAAAAAAATTTTCAAGTAAAATATAGTTAAAATGTCTTCTAAAATAAGCAACTTAAGAATGGCATCAAGATTCCTATATACTGAGGAAGAATCTTGATGCACTAGTGAATCTTTGAGCGCAGTAAAAATGAATGTTATCAAGCAAGTAGTTCAGTAAATGTATGCAGACGTAAGAAAGTATTTGACAGAAAATGATACTCTAGACATAACAAAAGAGGCAAGCAGGAATTTTAATAAAGATAAATCATGTTTTCAATTTTCAACCAAAAACCTAGAAGGTTCTGGCAGAGAAAAGCTCAAAAAATGTCCATTATGCAATTTTTAACAAATGCAAAAAATTGTGTTGCAGTGCTTGGTAAGTTTAGCTACCCTGTTCATTTCCTATTTGGTTTTTTTTCTTATTATAATTACAATAATAAGTACATTACTAATCTTATTACAATTACAGTAATAAGTACATTACTAAAGAATTTGGTCCAGTTTTTCTTTTCCTTTATTGTTCTGCAATGAGCAAAGACAAAATTAAAAACTTGTTTAGAAAATATGGCATCAATCCCTTTAAGCCAGAAACTCCAGATTACAGCAAATTAACGTTTTGAGTTTGCTCAAAACGTTATGGTTGCCATATCTCCGGATTTGCCCGGAGATCTCCGGATTTTAAGGCAAAAAAAAAGGCTCTGGGGGATTTCAGAAAAAAACATGAAATTTCCTCTTTTTGGAGGTTTTTATTTAATTTTTATAAAAATTTGATATATAATACTTAAATTTTAATACTTAAATGTATAGAACTGAAAATGTAAAAACTATTAAATGTAAAATGTTTTTTGTCACTAACAATTATTGAAAATGCTCACAAAGCACGTGTTCTCTTAATTACACAATATTGAAAAATGCTCTACTTCATTTTTTTTGACTACTGCTGAAATATGGTTTTAATTTAGTAAGTTCTCATGAATTGAAATTTACTTTATTAATCATTAGCCAACAGCTTAGGTAATAAAATTGAATTCCTCACCATTAAGGTAAGAAAAACTTTGTTCTTTGGTCACACCATTAAACAGTTTTTTTTTTAATTATTACCATGTCATTGCTATTTTGTGTAAATATAATATATTTTTCATGGCATGATAAGTTTATGTTATACTTAAAGTAAAAAAGAACTATAATATTTTTTTGTTTGCTTTTATATAACATTTTTTGCTAATACTGCTATCAGAAAAATAGGAATATTCTTACTTTTTGAAATAAAAAGGGATTCCGTAATAAATCTTTTAGGTCTTTATCTTGATGAAAACATCACTTGGAATCATCATATTGACTACATAAGCACTAAAATTTCAAAAAACATACGAGTTTTATATAAAGCACGAATCTACCTCAATAAGAAAATTTTGATCAAACTTTATTATTCATTCATACACAGTTATTAAAATTATGCTAATATCGCCTGGGTACAAAAAAAAGTTGCAACGTCTTTATTGCCGTCAGAAACATGCTATCCGTTTAATCTGCTTTGCAAATCGCTTTCCTCACGCAAAACATTATTTTATTGAAATGAGAATTTTAAATATATACAAGCTAAATGTATATAATGTTTTATGATTTGTATACATGTGGAAAAATGACTTGTCTCAATCTGGTTTCAAAGATATTTTTACTCCGAAACCCATCAACAAATACAATTTGAGAAATACTGACTTTTTAAATGAGCGCTTCAATGTAATTTGAAATGTGCTCTGCAACTTTTCTCGTTTGCCAAAACTGATTCAAGTTTTGGTGAATGGATTCAAAAGCTTGTTTTGTCCAGTAACATAAGTTTACAGAATATAAAATAAACGGAATAAATTCTAGTCTATTTCATAAATAATCATTGTATTTTATGCAAATTTTAACTTTTATATACTGTTGTGATATTGTAATAACAAATATTTAATTACTATTATTATAATTAATTAGAATTATTATAATCTTTAAGAAATCCATCTCCACCTAATTTGATATCAACATCATTTGTTTCTTTATGTCTATGATAAAACACTAATGCCCTTCAACGTCATTACAATTCACCATAGGAGTATCATTTTCTACAGATGCATGAAAAATCAAAATGAGTGATACAGATTGCATTCTAGTTATCAAAAAAAATTAAAGATAATAGACTACTTATCTCTTTGTTTTCATTTAGTCTTAATAACAATAAAAAATTGTCACGATGACAAAAATTTGAGACAAAAATTTGTGAAAAAATTTTTTTGATAAAGATTTGTCACGAAAATCGAATGATTTTCTAACAGGCTTGTGGTTCTCAGTCAGTTTAATATGGAAACCAGATTTCACACTTTTCCGTGTTCCTTCACTCCTTAGAGTGAAACTTCGATCATATTGCAATTACTTAAAAGTCATAACAAAATTATTTATAATTTGAATTACTCGATATAGTTTTAATCAGGTTTGAGTAGTCTTGTTTTATTTTATTTAGAGATTTATGTGTTGCTTTATCATTATTTATAGGTCTAAAATCCATGCTTTTATTGAAGAAGCAAATGCAACTTTATAACAAAATCAAAGTGTTCTTTCGCATGGTTAGGCATTTTAAATGGATGCTTCAAATAAAAACTTCTGACATGCACTTATAGTATTGGGATTCTATATCCAACCCCATTAATTAAATACTGTTAACAATTACAGACAGCTAGCCGTTGCTAATCGTTAAATTTGAAACAGTAGTTGTAATAACTGAACTCTAATAATAGTAATAACTGAAATAGTAGTAAGTAGATAATAAAGTTAATAGTTCAGTTTCCAATTTACTTTTTGAAACTCGAAATGTGCGGGCGTGATTTATTTAATGCCATTTTGTGGTATTGGAAAAAGTAAGTAGAAATGATCTTTGTGTTTCTGGCGGCGTTGGAGAAATATTAACAATTGAGATTATTAATAAACGAACAAAAAACATTTTAGTTAGCTGTTGTTGTCGACCGCCAGACGGCGTGATCGAGAACTTGAGCGTGTTTTTACAGTAAAAAGTTATTGCGAAAGGTAACAACGAAAAAAAAAAAAACTTTTAAGTTGGTGATTTTAATATGAATTGTTTTGACTGCAATGACAACAATAAACTTTTATGATGCAATTTTTGAATCTAGAGCAATTCCTTTAATAAATCGTCCAACAAGAATGTGGAAATAATATTATCCAGCAACTTTGCTGGATAATATTATTTCCACAGACTTGTTCAACAGTAGTATAAAATTGGGCATCTTAAAAACAGATATTTTAGACCACTTTCCTATTTTTCTAACTATAAACACTCACCAACCGCCTAAACAAAAATTAAATAAAGTTATAAAAAAACGTTTTTTTAAACCATCAAATAGTCTTTGTAAATGGTAATGAGAGCTGATTTTTGAGTCTTTCAAAAATCAGCTCTCATTACCATTTGAAACACTTAAATTTAAATGAAAACGCAAACAACCTTTATGAAAAGTCTTTGAAACATTCACCTCTGTTTACGAATCTAATTTCCCAATTGTTACAATTACATTAAAAACAAAACACATTAATAATCCCTGGATTACCAAAGGACTCAAAAAATCATCAAAAACAAAACAAAAACTATACATAAAGTATCTGACAACAAAAACACCAGCTACCGAAAAAATTTACAAAGATTACAAAAATCTTTTTGAAAAAATCGGAAAAAACTTAAAAAAAAACATAGTATTCAAAATTAATTAATAAAGTGAAAAATGACTCAAAAAGCACTTGGCAAGTATTGAAAGAAATTACTGGAAAAAAAAAAAACATGCTTAAGTTTTTTGCCTAAAGTCGATAACAATAGCTTGTATTAACCATAAATAATAGCTCATGAATTCAATAAATATTTCACTGAAATTGGATCAACTCTGTCAAGTAAAATACCAAAAACCCAAACCTCATTTTATAAAATAATAACAGTAAAATTTAATAAAATGGATGTTGAAATAAACAATAATAAATCAAATATACAAAGCATTAAGAAAGAAGTCAACAACATAAAAGATAGTTTGAAGAGAAAATCATGAATGAATTTTTGTCAATAAAATCTAAATATGACAGTGAAATAATAACATAAAAAAAATCTACTGACCTAGAAAATCGCTCTAGGAGAAATAATTTACGCATCATTAAAAATAGATAACATAAGCATTAAAAGAACTGAAAAAACTAAATTTCTTGGAATAATTATTGATCAGAAGATTTCCTGGAAGGCCCATATAAGTACAATAAATAACAAAATAAC